ATGGAGCTCGGCCACTATGCGATGGTACCCGCGAGAGAAGAAGCGGCCACATGGCCGTCCTCCTTTACGATGGGCAGATACTCTAGCTTATCGAAACAACGTCTATGATCCGAAGTCCTTTAGGGTGACTATGCGCTGGACAACCAGAGCTTAAGATAGAGAACAATGGAAAAGAAGTTGGCACCCGCGCAAGGACATGATGGCTTTATAATGACTCTCAAAACAGAGCGTACTATCGAACAGAAACCCACGACCCTTAACGCTTTAACTCTAGTTTTCACTGCCATTTATGTGGTAGACAGCTACAACCCCTTTGCAAAATTTCCCTACTTGAAAGAATAGTGTTTTATCTGCAGCAGGAGGCAGTTCCCAGAGATTAGACCATTCAGCCATATGGTCAAATGCAGATTGTAAAGCAACAACGTCATCAACTATTCGTATGCTTTTATAAATCCTAATATCGTCTGCGTACATTGCGCAAGTAACACCCCAATTTGCGAAAACCTTGGGCAGATCAAAAGTGTAGAGAAGGAAAAGCAAGGGCGAGAGCACTCCCCCTTGCGGCACCCACTATAATTGCGGAAAACCGATGAAAAATCATTACCAATTTGATCCTGATAATTACGACCAACCATGTAGTTATGAATCCATTGCACTACTCTTGGATCGCAATTGTCAAGGTAATCCAACGATGTAACGACAGTGCTGAACATTACAATACTAATTCCATTACTTATGAATATAATGACATTTTTACAAATGCCTTTCGTTTTGTAGACGTCGAAGGGGCCGGCCTTCATGCGTGCTTTGGATCGGCAGTTCACTGCCAGGTGTCCAAGCACATAGCAGACCTCATGATAATATGTGGATGCTACGATTGGGCACTGAGGTGTCTCTGGTAGAGGCACTTCTGTCGCTTGCCGAGTCCAGCTCCAATGCATACGTCCTCTGGCCGATTATTCACAAGAGGCCCACCATTCGATCTTGCTCCCTCTTTATGTCGTTCACGGCATCCATGATAGCATTGAAGATTTGTCGAAGATTCGCGAGCGTTCTCACTTGATGCGACGTCTTCATCATCTTGCGATATTAGGAGGGATTGCGAGGCAGTTTTTGGTTGAGCAATTTTTCTGGGGTGTTGTCGTTGTGAGCGTTCTGGAGGCCCGCTTCGGACACGGTTTTGCAGTAAGAACATCGGTGGGAATGGGTTCTTGGATAGTAAGTAGTGGTTCTGCACCAGGGAAGCTTCAGTGTTAGACAGGATTCGCGCTCAGGCCGATGCACCATTGTGGCTAATGACCAATGGGCCTTACCGTACATATGCAATCATTCATTATTACGCGTATAGAAACCGACAATAACACATAAGCCTGCAAGTCGACGTTTAGCCAGCTTCTCTGGGACACTGTATTGCTGCCGTTTCTGTGCTCAGTGGGCTATTCTTTATTTTTCTGCGTGTAAACTAGGGTTGAGGGCGGAGGTGGTGTAGTGGCAAGTGGCGCACTATATCACACGCACGATCAGGGGTTCGAATCCCGGATCGATGCCCGCCTAGGCCAACCAAGCCTTCCATCCCTCCGGGGTCGGTGAATTGGTACCAGACTCGTCTGGGAGGATAAAAGCNCTGACTTGTACATCGGCTGGCCACCGCAAGTCATTGTATAGGCCACATACGCACTCAATACGCCACTACGATTCTTGAATGGAAGTCGAGTGCGGGGGTGCATCTCTTAGACGGGATTGATTGACGCCAAAAAATTTATCCTTTATCCTTTAAACTAGGGTTGAGGTGAACCTTTACACCCCAGTGTTTCTGCTACTATAACTTTCGCTGTTATTCTATTGCTGGTTCCGCTGCAATCAGCAGAATCGATCCGGTCATCGACCCCAGTTGATCTTCGATTCGAGTTTCTTAGTGGCGAGAAACGACCTCACATTCTCCCCACAGACTTGCCCGCAGATTTGCTTGTTTCTTTAATTTCAGTTAATGGAGACCCCTTTGACTACAGATGTTCGTTCCACCCAGGCACGAAAGTGTTAATCGCTTTGAGTTCACAAGCCCTGAATTCGACAATTGACTCAAACGAGCTATCGACCTAGCTGCAAATGATCTCTCCCTGAAGCGCCTCTATGGGCTATTTATTTGAAATGAAACATGGTATGCACGAAGTCATGAGGAAGAATGAGCAATTGCTGGAGGAAAATAGGATTATCAAAGAAAAGAACCGTGAGTTGCTGGATGAGGTAGCTTCTCTGAAATCTCAGATTAGTTTGCTTAAACAGTCTCCTTCTACTTAGTTTCCTTATACAAATAGTGATAGTGTTGCAACTTCTTCCTCTGTTTCTTATGAAGAAATCGAGCGAAAACGTTCAGTTGCGATTGCCGGTACACGAGAAAGTGTCTCACCTAACTCTTCTGTACAGTATCCTATGATTTAAGTTGTACCCGTCGCATCATCGACTTTCTTTCCATTGATTATCATCCTCTTGCTGTTCATAATACGGGTCGTTTCACTGCCGACAGGCCACGGCTTTTGAAGGTCGTGTCTCCTTCTTCGTTTTTTGCATCGCTTCTTCTTTCAGAAAAGCTCCTTGACCGAGGTTCCATCCTGAGAAAGGCATTTTCGTCCAAGCTTCCCTGTCTTGAGCGGAACGTGAGCGCATTCGGGCTCAGAAAAGTTCCAATCAAAGTCCTCATACTCCGCCTGTAAGCCAGGATTCCAATTTACTTTTGCGAGCCGTTGAAAATCATCCGAATAATAAGCTTGTAGCTGCTCCTTCTCGTACCGTACCTGATTCTGCCGCTTCTGTTGTTGATGAGGGAAACATGTAAAGGGTATAAGGAATTCTGCTTCTAGTATTCCTTGTGTGGTGGCTAATCTGAGATCGATAATTAAAAACTCTGAAGCACTTACTTCACTTATAAAGCAAGAGATTCCTGATGTGATCTCGGTCACCGAGACATGGCTTAACCCCGCAGTTGGCATTAGTTCGCTTATTCACGCGGATATTTGACTCATATTGTGTGGTGAGATGTGACCGCCTTTCTAATAAGGGAGGAGGAAGGGCTTTGCTTCTAGGGATTCATTCTCTCCCAGTACAGTTTTTCGGAATCGGATCCAAACTCTTATGAATTTTTGTGTTGCGACTTATGTATGCATTGCAGGTCGTACGATTCATATCGGTTTATAAAGCACCGGAGCTTACAGCAGCTATGTCTGAACAACTAGTTAAAGCGATAGCTGACATGGCCTTTTGCGATTGTCCCACTGTGATAGTCGGAGACTTCAACTTTCCATCCATTGTTTGGAACTCTACTAGTATTGTCCAACCGGGTCGACTTTCATATAGTGCTCGCTCCTTTCTGGAGATGTGTACTCATCATGATAAAATTTTGGACTTAGTCTTGTCGAACGATCACACTCTTATTTCCGACCTGAATGTCCGGTCTCCTATAGGTTCAAGCAACCATTACTTTCGCGATCAATGTTCAAGTTTCCAAGCAGCCAATGACTATTAGAAGAGACTTTTCGAAGGCTAATTACGAGGATATTGAATGTTACCTAGCCAATGTTAACTGGTTCGGCTCTCTGAATACCGTGAATTCTGTAGATGCTGAATATGAACTTTTCATGATTATCGTTTCCCACACTATTGGATTATCCGTTCTTATTGTGCAGAAGCCTTTACCACATTCAACTTTACCGGGTTATCTTGTCAAGTCGTTCATACGAATTGTTTGAGTAAAAAGCTGGACAACAAGTTAAGGAAATTCAACGCAAACGTTGAAAAAAAGTAGTCGATTCTGGGAACGAAAACCTCTTTTTATAAGCTTCCGAGATCACGATAGAGACATATACCAAAAACTTTGGCTTTTCTCTCGCCTGAAGGAACGCCAGTTTTTGACAATACTGGTAAGGCTGAGTTAATGGCATCTACATATCAAAAATACTTCTCTTCATCCCATGAGGCAGAAGGAAGTTTCCTAGCATGTACGAGTCTGTTTGGTTCTGCTGCGATGATATACTCAGACTGCTACTCAGTTGACCTCAATCAAACTCGCTTACGCCCGATTTCTCTTTTCTGAAAGGTTTTCTAAAAAGGGTTGCTCATCCTATAAGCAGGCTTCGCGTACAAATTTAACCTGAGCTTCATGAATGTAGAAGTTAAATATCGATGGACCGTGTCAGTCATAACATTAATTCCAAAAAAGCCTCCGTATAATGTGCCGCATAAATTCAGACCAGTAAGCATAACATCCATATTTTCGAGACTTTTCGAGAAGATTCTGAAGAAACAGATGTTAGTGCATTTAGAAAAGCACAGTATCACATCGGCCAGACAACGTGGTTTTCAGAAAGCCAGGTCGACGGTAACGGCCATGATTGCGTCATTTCTTCACTCATATGGTGGCTCCCTTTTTCGTAAGCTGTGCAGGAAGTGTGGGCCTCCATTAAAATCTCACATAATGTTCAAAAAATACTTAGAGTTCCTTGAGTCCGTGAATTTCGTTGTTCCTAACATAATATTTGTTTTTTTTTTGTTTGTTTTCATTGATTCACTGTTCTATTACTATGCTGCTACTACTATTCTACGCTGGATTCTTCTTTTGGACTTTTTTTCCGAAAATTTTTATGTGTACGTGTTTACCGCGTGTAATTAAGATATAAGTCTATATATATCAGGACCCCTACCCACGCAGTGAGACACATTGTATAGCTCGTCTAAACGCCCCACTCTCCTTCATTTTTCTGGTCTCTTTCTCGTCCAGCCCCCTTTTTAACAGTTTTCTTGGCCTTTTGTCACTTCAAAAACACACATTCACGCAGTTTCTTCACCTTCATCGCACTATTTTCGATGTTGTCTTCCATTTTTCATCATAATCTCGATTACCCAAAATTATCGTGAACTGTGCCTTTGAGCCACCTATAGATTATGCCTTTCCGCCTCAAGAGATAGTTATCAAAAGGATTACCCAAGGCAAACACTGAGACTGGTTGTAAACCCACAAAAAATGAAGGCATTGCTTCGAAATTAATTTCTCAATTCATGACCGAATAAATCAACGATATAATTCAAGTCTTCATTCTCATCTTCTCAACATTTTACAAATTATTCATTTCATCTGAGGGACAAACAACGTCTGCCGCCGGCGGAAGCCTTCAAGTTCCAGTTTTAAAAAAATACTAGAAGGGTTGCTGACAAACCAGAGTTAATAAACAAACGGTTTAAGACTGACTGATGTGTTTGCTACGGGAAGTAGAGATTAAGGTACATAGTCACCGATTTGGTCATTTTTGTCCACTTGAACACCTGCTCCTCATATTTCTAAGATGGGATAAAGCATTCTATAGAACACACAAATATTCTCAAAATGGTACACAACACAGTCGAATAATACGATTTTTCCGTCCTGGACAGAGGCATTTCATGAGTAACATCCTCTGAATTGAAAAAGAAAGGTTGCAGAAAGCATACTAATGCACTCAGGAGCAAATTACAGCAGAACTCACAAGCAGGGTGGGAGCCCGTTTTCTTCAATTCAATCGCTTAGAGCTGAAATCAATTGCAGCATAAATAAGGGCCTGAATCTATTACAGGATATTGCTTGCCACGTGTAACTTCGAAATTCTCAATGTTCAAGACCCTCAGCTTAACGCTTTATTTGCAGTAGGATGTGCCAGAGCTTCCACGACTGCTCACGAACGGTTCAAAATGTGTTTCACGACAGTAAAAGATTCCTCATTGGGGTTTTGATAAATGTGAAGAGCAAAACAATGCTCGTCGGAATCTAAAACCTTGAAACACCTTGAAATCACCTCTTCTCTCTGCTTTATACTACCTTTCAGCTGCTTTTCATTAAATATATATCAACTGTAGTTCAGAAAGTNAAGTTTTTTTTTCTTACAGAAATTTTGTAGAGAGCTCTGACACTCGTGCTGAAGGCTCTGAATTCGAATAGTTCTTGAATATCTCGAAGAAGGTGCACGTACTACTATGAAGCTGCCCTTCTATTTTAGCGAAGGCTAACTCGCATGGCAGCTTCAAGATTAAAATGGCTTAGGGTATGGTTTTTACTCGCTCATGTGTAGTCGACTGTACGGAATCCTTTCACTGAAGGCCCTTTCCCGCTGAAGAAGACTGTTGAGGAAGGTACACGGCGCGACCACACGATGGCCAAGCCCATTGCTCAGC